GAGAAGGAAGTGGTCATTCCAAGTTGACTCACCCTTTGGTGAGCCACTGGAGGGGTAAAATTTAGAGGAGGAAGTGGCCATTCCATCTTGACGACCCTTGTAAGTGAGCAAACATGCGGGAAAGGGCCTGTGTGCGCACTTGAGTCTCCCCGATGGACTGTGTGCGCGCATGAGTCAAATCTGTGTGCGCAGATGAGGCGCAAGTGCTAACAAAATGTGTGTGCGCAGATGAGCCGCCGCCCTTCCAATAAAGCCCCGCGACAATTACATTCTTCACTAAAGCCCCGCGACAATTACATTTTCCAATAAAGCCCCGCGACAATTACATTCGTTAGCATAAAAATAAAAACCCTCAGCATAAAAATAAAAACCCTCAGCATAAAAATAAAAACCCTCAGCATAAAAATAAAGACCGTTAGCATAAAAAAAAGAACCCACCCAAATCCAGCATAAAAAAAAGAACCGTTAGCATAAAGAAAAAAACTATTCCCAAACAAAACGAGGTCAGTAAGGCTACAGTATAATCCCTCTCCGAACGCCCCAACGCTAATGGTAGGATTTCGATACAGTCGCTGCCACCGTGGGCCAGCGGCTCCTTTTTGCCGGCGAAGGGACCTGCCGGCTGCTTTATGGAGTCTCGGCATAGAACTGGGGCACACTCGGTGGTTGATATTGAAATTTAATTTCCAAATCAGTCAGAGGAGAGCATTCTATGGGAGTGCTTTGGGCGATCGAATGGAATCCAGACTCATGCTCACTATAGTTCCTACATGTGCTGAATCAACTGTTTTATGTCAAAGGCTTCACTTTTTTACCCCTTAAGGCTTAAGGCAGTTCTCAGAATTCCCCACCACCACTGTTTTGTTCTTTGCTCGAACTCCCCAGCATAAGGAGGACATGGGCGGACAAAGGTTGACAACGGGGACTTGTGACGCATGCCTGTACATGGCTCCGGCCTTCGTGCATCAAGATCTGTGGATGGGAAGACCCTCCCTGTCCCTCATCCAACGGCACCCCTGTCACAGAGAGGAATCGCATTGTCTTCCTGGAAAGGGCCATTGCCATCCACTTCACCGAAGATCCTCATATATACCCTCCATCCAAGAAACAGGGTTTCGTGGACAACTCTTTGTTTGTCCAGGATCTCACATAGTCTTTCCTTTCGGGGCCATGCCCTCCACATATAGCCATGATTGTTGGAGGGAGTGTAGACAGACTACCCTCATGTCGACAGTGGGGTGCATAAACCGTCTCCAGAATTATAGTGGTTTCAGACTATATGGCACAAGCCAGAAAAAACACACAAACCAGAACATGTTTTAATATATATATATATATAGATGGGGGGCTCCATATCAACCACCTTACTTGGGGGATTGCGCATCCATTCCTCATCTCCCGGCCTTAGGGGTTTGCTCCCGTGGGCTCTTCTGAGGGAACGTCCATGCCGCGGTGATCAGTGGCGCTCGGGCGGCCTGCGAGATCTTGGGTCGAAGCGGCAACAGCTCCTGGCCGCTCTTCCGAAAAGCTCCTGGGCAGCCGTTCGCCGTTTCGTTCGACCGAAGGCATACGAGTTGGTGAATTGAATTTGAGCGCTTGTTGGCTATTGGTTTGGAGGCCAGCAGTTGTGTGGCTTGGTTGGTTTGCAGTGTTTGGGTCCTACGGTGTCATCCCTGTGGTGACTGGTGGCTGATTGGAACAGGGGTGAGCTTGGTCGGCTTGACACAACCAAGGTCCGAAATGAAACGGAAACACAAGGGGAGTAATTTACAGTGGAGGTATGTGAAAGCACATGTGTACAGTGTGGACGCATGTGTTCGAGGCCCGGGTCACCCCAACGGAGTGACGGCCATGCCTGTCTTCCCCCAGACTCCCAATGGGACGTCTATCAGGCGGCTATATGCCAGTCTGGAGTGCTTACTCGGTTGTTTCCCTGCCCATGGTTTGACATGTTTCTTGTGTTGCACCTTACTGTGTGTAAATCCGAATGGTGCCGAATGAGGGTCAAGCTTCCAACTCGGTCAGAACATGTGTACTGCTCTCCTTGTCATGCGTTATCCCTTTGGAATCAACCACCCCGATGTATGCAACTATTCCATGAACACTTGGGGGCTGCAGGCCAAAAATTCACTAATTCCCAACCCCAGAGTTCCAGAGTGGCCCTTTTTCTTGGTTCTTTCGCCTCTTTGATTGAAACCAAGAAGCATTTCGGCTTGACTGGGTGTTGTTCCCTCGCTATAATGAGTTTCCGGGCCTAAGAACATGTAGCAGCTTGGCACACCAACCGCTCACGTATTCCAACCGTTCACTTCATGGCAGCCGTGACGCAGTGACGACTCCGGTGACGACACCGTGTCTCCTTCATCCAAGGACCTCCTCCATTTGTGCACTGAAAGTCCGACATCTTCGTCGGCTCCAGCGTCAAGGCAGGACCGCAGGTTCTGGGCCGAAGGCCTTACAGTGTGTGAATCCCATCATCAAGGGTGGAATAGGGATACTCGTATATATATATTTTATATATGTGTGTGCGTGTGTGTAAACTTATGTAAACGACTCCCTGTATAATATTTACATATGGTTGGAGTCCACGATCAAAGATCTTTGGATCTTTGTTGAGTTGATGGTGACAAGTTGCGTCGCGTGAGACTGGTTGGGACTTTAAGTTGACGCAATCAGTGGAGACTCCTTGGCATTGCTTTCGACTAGTTACATAAAAGGCACTGTCTTTCTGAGGCCTCTTCAGATCGGGAGCAGGCCTTGATCAGTAAATCCCTCCCATTTGGATTGAGCAACCTCTATATACAGTCAGATCTAAGGGGCTGACACCCACCAGCTGCCCAGCAGGCCCACATCAGAGGTTGTGCATTTGTTGTTGTTGTGTTTGTTGGTTGTTGGTTGTTGTTGCGGTTGTGGTTGTGGTTGTGGTTGTTGTTGTTGCTGTTGTTGTTGGTGTTGGTGTTGGTGTTGTGGTTGTGGTTGTGGTCGTTGGTGTTTTTCTGGCAGTTGTAGTTGTAATTTGTTGTTGTAGTTTTTTGTTGTTGTTGCTGTTGTTGTTGCTGCTGCTGTTGTTGTGGTTGTGGTTGTTGTTGTTGTTGCTGTTGTTGTGGGTTGCTGCTGCTGCTGCTGCTGTTGGTGTTGGTGTTGTTGTTGTTGCTGTTGTTTCTGTTTCTGTTCGTTGTTGGTGGTTGGTTGTCGGTGGGTGGGTGGGTGGGTTGGTGGGTTGATTGGTTGGTTGGTTGGTTTGGTTTTTGCTTTGTTTGGTTTGGGTTGGGTTGGGTTGGTTGGTTTGGGTTGGTGGGTTGGTTTGGGTTGGTGGGTTGGTGGGTTGGTGGGTTGGTGGGTTGGTGGGTTGGTGGGTTGGTTGGTTGGTTGGTTGGTTGGTTGGTTGGTTGGTTGGTTGTTATTGTGGTTGGTTTGGGTGGGTGGGTGGGTTGGTTGGTTGGTTGGTTGGTTG